GTGGGGCTCAAACTTCTTAAACTCCAAGGTCAAGAGTCACATGCTCCACTGACTGGGCCAGGTGCCCCAGAATTACACTAATTCTAATACAGCAATAAAGTACTTTTTTTTTTTTTTAAGAAAGCCCTTTTCTTGGGGCGCCTGGGTGGCTCAGTCGTTAAGCGTCTGCCTTCAGCTCAGGTCATGGTCCCAGCGTCCTGGGATCGAGCCCCGCATCGGGCTCTCTGCTCCGTGGGAAGCCTGCTTCTCCCTCTCCCACTCCCCCTGCTTGTGTTCCCTCTCTCACTGTGTCTCTCTTTGTCAAATAAAATCTTAAAAAAAAAAAAAAAAATCTAAGAAAGCCCTTTCTTGAGCAAGCTGCATGAAGTCAATTTTATTCCTCAATCAGTTATTTTATGACCAAAGTTAAATTCTTTCTAATGTTTGCTATTATAAATTTAATTTTACAAAATTATTTTTTCATTGCAATCAACCTGACTTCATGGAGTGAATGCCACTATGAGGATGTGATTCTTCTCTCACTCTTGTTTATCCACATCTGATTTCACTGGTTTTCTGCCATTGTGCATTATCTGCTATTGTCCATTATTTCCATTTGGTCTGATTTTTCAGGTCAAATTTGATTATCTAAATGTCAGAATGTTATTGTCTGTTTGAATTTTAGTTGATATCCAATTAAATGTGGTCAGTTTTAGCTTCTATCAACATAATTTTGTGTTGGTTGTTTCTACACCATCAGTGATAGGATGTAGTATTTGCTCACAATTCTGCCTTTCCCCCTACTCCACACTCACCAGTGTACTCTGATGGAGGATATTTCTCTGCCTATTGATGTTGGGCTTGGCTGTGGGTGGGAAGACTATATTTTCCAAAGATGACCACAACGATATCTCCCATCTCATATGTGTCTTACACTTTGCATTGTGACATCAAGCAGGAAAGTCTATGTTCTCTCCCTCGTGAATGTAGGTGGAACTTGGTGAGTGCCTTAACCAACAGGGTTCAGCAGAAGGGATGCTATGTGTCTTCTGAGGCTAGATTATAAAAATGCAATACGCTTTTTTCTTGTTCTCTCGGAATTCTCACTCTTGGAATCCACCCACCATGCTTTGAGGGAGTGCAAACTAGCCCACACAGAGAGACCACCTGGGGATGCCACAGAAGAAGGATGTCCAGTTGACAGCTCCAACTGAGCTGTCCGGGCTCAGCCAGCTGCCAGCCAGCATCAACCACCAGAGTGAAAACACCTCCAGAAGATTCTGGCCACTGCCTTTTGAGTGTTTCCAGCTGAGACCTCAAACATTCTAGAACAGAGGCAAACAGTCATGACTGAATTCCTGACCTACGGAATTGGCGAGCATAATAAAATGGCTGTTTTATGCCACTAAGTTTTGGGGTAGTTTGTAATGTAGCAATAGTAACTGGAACACCATAGGACTTGCTTTGACCAGTGGAATGTGGTGCCGATTCTGTGTGTGCTCGTTCTGAGCCTGGGCTTTAAGAGCATCCTGGGTCCCTAATCATCCCCCTGCCCCCTCGGCGGTCTCTGACTTCTGCCAAGAGAAGAAAATGCCCTAGGTGCCCACTGCTCCCAGAACAAGGAGACACGTGGAATAATTTTGAACCCAACTGTTATGGGCTGAGTCGTGTCTCCTGCAAATTCATATGTTGAAGTCCTAACCTCCAATACCTCAGCATGCTGTGGGTCTTAGGGTAGGGTCTTTAAAGAGACAATGAAGTTAAAATGAAAGGAAAGGCCCTAACCCAATCAGACTGGCGTGTTTATAAGCAGAGGCAATCTGGACATACCCAGAGACACCAGGGATGCGCATGCACAGAGGAAAGCACATGTGAGGACGTAGCAAGAAGGTGGCTATTTGCAAGCCAAAGACAGAGACATCAGAAGCAACCAATCCTGCCAACACCTTGATCTTGGACTTCTAGCCTCCAGAACTATGAGAAAATACATTTCTGTTGTTTAAGCCACTCAGCCTGTGGTATTTTGTTATGGCAGCCTGTGATAGTGTGATTTATAATAAGAAATGTATATATTTGATCTTAGTCCAGTTTCTGGCACAGAGTTCCTAAAACCCTTGGAATTTGCTAAGTAATGAGAGCAAGGAAGGTGTCTCTTCTTATATTAACGAGGTGACTTTTGAACCCCACCTAAGGATTGCCCAGAACACAAACCATGTGATTAGAGGGTTGAACTTTCAATCCCACACTCCCACACCCACCCCACCTCCGGGGAGAGAGAGGGGCTGGAGGTTGAATCATTCCCCAATGGCCAATGATTTAATCAATCACGGCTCTGTAATGAAATCCTCCATAAAACTCCAGAAGGACAGGTTTTTCGGAGAGCTGCTGGGTTGGTGAACACGTGGGGATGGGGGGGAGAACAGTGCCTGGACACTACACGGCAGCTCCGTGCCTTTCCCCGTGCCTTGCCCTCTGCATCTCTTCCATCTGGCTATTCCTGAGTTCTGTCCTTTAATAAGAAACTGGGAATCCAGTGAGTAAACAGGTTTCCTGAGTTCTGTGAGCTGTGCTGGTAAACTAATCAAACCCAAGGAGGGGGTTGCGGGATCCTTTGATTTCTAGCCAGTCGGTTGGAAGCACAGGTAACCTGGGCTGGGGACTGGTGTCTAAAAGTCGGGGGCAGGGCTTCTTGTAGGACTGAACCCTTAACCTGTGGTAGCTGATGCTATTTTTGAAGTGCGCGTCAGAATTGAGTTGAGTTTTCATACACCCAACTGGTATCTGGAGCTGAACATGGAGCCCAACACAGGTTTCGATCCCACGACCCTGAGGTCATGACCTGAGCCACCCAGGCGCCCCTTAACTCTGTTCCTTTATCCTGCTTTGTTTTGTTTCTTTACAGAACTCATCACATATTCATTTTTCTGTCTCCCTCCATAAAAGAATGCCTCCTCTATGGGGCCAGAGACTTTATCTTATTCACTGCTGCATCCCCATGGCCTGGATTAGTACCTGGCATACAGTAGGTGCTCAATAAATATTTGTTAATAACTGACTGAATAAAGGAGTGTCCTTGCCTTTGCTCAAGCCACTCCCTCCACCTGGAATACCTTCCCTTCTCCTTCCTCCCTTTCCTAATGCCACATATCCCTTAAGACTAAAACCTAGCCCCTATTCCTCCAGGAAGTCCTCCCTGATTGGCTGGGCTCTGGGCCCCTGGAAAGTGGCTTATTCCTGCCCTTCCTTCACCACAGTACTCAATCTTAGGTATACTGTAGGGTTTGTGGCAGGTAAAGACTGAGGTGGAGACTGAAGACAGAAGAGAACAGGCCAGCTTTATTGGCGTTAAGAAGAGGAAAGGGCCCTCCATAGGCTCTAGGCCGGGGTGGAACTGCAGGGAGGGGAGCCTGGACGCCGCGTCACTTCTTCCATTCCTTCTTCTCATAGTCCCACCGGGAGGCCAGGCCTTGCACAGGGTTGCCCTTCATATCCAGGATGCGCTGGAGCTGCTGGGCCTTCCACTCATCCGTCAGGGTGATGGGCTTCTTTGGGAACACTGCAGGTAAGGCATGGGGTGGGGACAGGGGTGGCTCAGGACCCTGCAAGTCTTCCACCCTGTCCCCCTGAGCCAGGGTCTCCAGTCACAGGGTTAGGACACCCCTTCCACCCTGTCTGTCCCCCCCACCAGACTCCCTGCTAAAGCTTCATTCCAGGGACCTCTGGGTTCTGGTCCCAGCTCTGCCTTAGACTCACTGTGGGAATTGGGCCAAGGTCCTTCCCCTTTCTCAGCCTGCTTCCTTACTTTATGGCCCAATGGAACGGATCCAAATCCCAGCTCCACCCTCCCTTGCTGTGTGACCTTGAACAAGTCACTTCATCTCTCTGAGCCTCAGTTTCCTTCCCTGTCAAAAACAGGTCCTATCTCCTATGGCTGTGGGGATTGGATGAGTTAGTATGTATAAAGCAACTGGTACAGTGTGGGACAGATATTAAGTACATAATATATGGTAGTGATTATAATTACTAAGTTTGCTCCCCCTGACTGGGAAGAGCCCAGGATGAGATGGTTTCTTTTGCCTCCTAAGGGGGTTGGAGTTAGGAGGCGAGGAAGGGGAGTTCACTTTAGAAATCTGGGGAGGGCAGTACTTAACTAAAAGGCTGAGGCACTCAAGAGGCATTCTAGGTGCCATGATGTGTGCATCAGGGGAGATGGAGCTCCCTACACTGCTCAGACCTTACCTCCTGGTCCATCTGCCCCTGAGGCTGACTCAGCCTGTCTGACCTCCTCATCGGAACTTTCTAGCTCAGTGGGTGGGAAAGAAGGAAAAGATCTTTATGGCACCCATTAGCACCAAACACTGGGCTAGACTAGAATTCATCCTCATTTCATCCTCATGCAAGGCGGGAATTCCCATCACACTCTTACAGAAGAAGAAAAGTGAGACCGTTGGAGGTGAAGAGCTGGGGCAGAAACTGTCAGCCCTTCCCCAACAGCCCCTCCCCTGCTTCCGGAGCAGTGCTTCCTAGGGCTGAGTGGGCATCAGAATGACTTGGAGAGCTTGTTAAAATACAGATGGCTGGACTCCACCCTCAAAGTGTCTGACTTGGTAGATCCAGACTGGGGCTGAGAATCTGCATTTCTAAAAGTTCCCAAATGATGATGTTGGTCCAGGGACCACACTTTGAGAATCCCTCTTCTGTAGTCATAAGCCGTTAGCTGGACATGTGACCAGCTAGCTAAAAACTACATTTCCCAGCTTCCCTTGTGGCTAGACATGGTCATGTGATCATTTCTAGCCAACAGGAGGTGAGCAGAAGGCACGTGGGCAACTTGTGGACCTTAGAGAGGGGTGCATCCCTTTCCCTGTTCTTGGCTGGAATGTAGGCTTTCATGGCTGGAGCTGGAGCGGCCATCTTGGGTGGCAAGAAGGAAGCCACGTGTGGAGGACGGCAGTGCAACACCACAGAAGGAGCCTGATGTTGCAGAGTCTCCATACTCTCCCTGGCCTTTTTTGTGAGAGGAACAAAACCTGTATCTTGTTTAAGCTCTTGTATGTTGGAGACTCTCTGTTACAGAAAAATTAATGGTTAATAACAGCAGTCAGTAACAGCACCATTCATGCTTATGTGCCAGGCACTGGCTTACAGCCATTAAATCCTCACAAGAACCCTGTGATGTGGGCACCATTGTTTTCATTTTACAGATGAAGGAATTGAGGCCCAGAGAGGTAGAGCTCCCACATCCCAACCCAGGCAGCCATGATCTGCCCTTCACCCTACACCTCTTTGGGGGACTTTTCAAAACTCTGCAGATGAGTGCCAGCATAGTTGCCCTATAAGAGCTGGGCTGGTGGCTCTGACCCCAAGGGCACGGCCCAGGCCTGCAGCAAGGTGAGGGGTTGCCACTCACCATAGACCCGCTGCCACCAAATCAGCAGAGCTGTGAATCCAAAAAAGAAGAAGACACAGCCCATCACTGTCTTCCACTCATTGGAGCGACGGTTCATCTCTGCGAAGGTCTCATGGAACTGGAGGCGGTACACTGGAGGCAGAGGAGGGGTGGGGAAGGAGGGGCCTTGCATGTATCCCTCTCAAGAACCCTGGGCCAAGTCTTGGCCTCAGGGATCCCCAGCCTCCCCAGTCTTGCAGCAGATGCTGTCCATTCAGCAAATTCTTATTGAGCATCTACTGTATGCAAAGCATGGCCAGGAGCAGGCTCCAAATATCAGAGTCGTTTAGGGGCACTTCTGGTGGGCAGGACACATCCCTCCTGTTTCCCAGGGTCAGGTCCTTCCCCCCCACCACCACCTTACCTGCCTCTCTGCTCCATCTCCCCACACCACTCAGTGATACCCAGCATGCTCCATGCTCTCCTGCTTCCATATCCCTCCCCACGCTGTTCCTACTGCCAGGCAACACCCTCCTCCTCACCATTCAAGGCCAGCCAGGACATGCCCCCCTCTGGGAGGCCCACCAGGATTCTCTCTCCCTCTCTCCTTTGGGTCCTCACAATCCCTTGGACACACGTCACCCTAGCCACACAGCCTGTATTACGGTTATCCGGGTTTGTGTCAGCTCTCCCATTGACCTGGGAGCACCAGGCCAAAGCGAGAACCATCACGGTGATTCACTCCTGTGTCCCCAGCATCACCTAGTATCTGGCTGTGCACAAACAGCTGACTGAATAAAAGAATAAATGAACAAATGATGAACTTCACCCCTCAGGTATGCATTCAGGTGTTTGGGGATTTCTGGTGTCTTGGGTGGGGGCCCTTCTTTTTTTTTTTTTAAGATTTTATTTATTTTTATTTTTATTTTAGAGAGAGGTGGAGGAGGGACAGAGGGGGAGAGAGAGGGAGAGAGAATCTCAAGCAGATGCAGCATGAGAGGTCATGACCTGAGCCAAAACCAAAGAGTCTGACACTTAACTGACTGAGCCACACAGGTGCCCTGGGTGGAGGCCCTTCTTTTCAAAGTCACCCCCCAGCCCACTCTCCCCAGCCAGCCCCACCCTGACACCTACAGGCCACCTTCTCGGCATGGCTCAGCTGGGTCCAGCTGCCCTTCTCCTTCTCCTTCAGGGCCCGCTGCTCAGCGTTGAGCTCTGCGCAGAAGGGCTCATCAGGCATGGGGTAGGAGCGCTGGGCATGGTAGTTGGTGTAAGGGGGCATCTTCCGCTCGCTATGGGCTGCAGGCACAACAGAAGAGCTGAGTTCAGGCTGCCCCTGGGACATCCCAGCTCTACCCATACTATTTAAAAAGAGGGCTGCTTTTATTGAGCACTTACTGTGTGCCAGGAGCCATTCTGAGGCCTTCGGGTGAGTTGACGCATTTACTCCGCATCACTCTGAGCCAGGTTGAGACTGTTATCTCTCCATTTTACAGATGGAGAAACTGAACAGCTAAGTGACTTGCTGAAACTCACAGAGCAATAAGGAGCATGGCCAGGGCTGTAATTCAGCCCCTCTGGCTTCAAATCTCATGCTCTCTCGGAAGATTTGAGGTGAGGAGGGCATGTCAGGCAAAGGCAATGGGTGGACAAAGGCTGAGTGAGATGAGCCTGAGATGGAAGATGTGTAACTGCTCTGCAAACTGTAGGGCACTATCTGCATGCCTTTGACCCCTGGTCAAGGGCATGCCTTTGGAGTCAGCTGGGTTTGAGCCCCAGTTCCACCCACCCCAGCTCCAGCAAGCCCCTCGATCTCACTGTGCTTCGATGTCCTCCTCTGGAAAGTGGGGTTAGTAAGAGAACCTACCTCACCCTGTTGTGGGAAGTTTCACGACACCATACTTGAAAGGGTTAGCACAGTGCCTCGCAGTAGATGCTCCGTAACTTATACTGCTAGAGGTTGGTTTTACTACTGCCTTCCTTTCCTGCAAGCTTTCCCTGATGGCTAAGCCCTCAAGGGCTCCGCGTGGGTGTCCAGGGGGTCCAGAGCAAGGCTGGAGGGTCTCGATAAAGCTTCCGTTTATTGATACCAGAGACACCCACATGGAAGGCCTTGGTACCTCCTTGCCAGGACGGCATGGGACTGCTTTGACCCTTTTATTTATTTTATTTATTTATTTATTTATTTTTTAATATTTTATTTATTTATTTATTTGAGAGAGAGAATGAGAGAGAGCACGAGAGGGAAGAGGGTCAGAGGGAGAAGCAGACTCCCTGCTGAGCAGGGAGCCCGATGCAGGACTCGATCCCGGGACTCCAGGATCATGACCTGAGCCGAAGGCAGTTGCTTAACCGACTGAGCCACCCAGGCGCCCTGCTTTGACCCTTTTAATATCTAGGTCTCTGGGCCTCAGTTTGTTCATCTGAGAAATGGAGATAATAGCAGAGCATCCACCTCACATGGCTGTCATGAAGTCTGAGTGTGTTAATCTGTGTGAAATGTTGATCACAGCTTGGGGTACATAGTAAGGGCTCAATAAATGTTATTCTTCTGGGGGTCCGGAAGAATATCTGGCTGAAGTCTCTCCTGTTTTAGGCCCCTTTCTTCTGACTAGGGTCTGGAAAGGAGGTGCAAGGTCTGTCAGCACCCTCCGCCGCAGGACACAAAGTCCTTAGGGGCCTGAGGTTTGGGGCTCAGGCCCTGAGGAAGCTTCGAATGGAAGGGGGTGCTGTCAAATGAGAGCTCCATGTCCCGGAGGCATGTGGCCCAGGACCAAGGAGTGGGATTGTGGGAAATGGTCTGGGGCAGGCCCAGGGCAGCCAGCAGGAGCCCACCCCTGCCTCCGAGTTGGACAGGGGTGAGGCGTGCGGGTCTTACCTGCGCTTCCTGGGCTATGCGTCCACCGCATCCCGGGTCCTGCTTTCTTCAGTACCAAGCTCCAGGCAGCTCTGAAGAACATCTGGGTGTGTGTGTGTGTGTGTGTGTGTGTGTGTGTGTGTGTGTGTGAGAGAGAGAGTTCTGCCCCACGTTGCCCTCTGCCCCTACCCACGGAGCCCAGACAGAGAAACTTTTTCACGGGTGCTATGGTGGGGGGCGTCCCAGGATTTCAAAGTCACCCTCATGCCCCTGACCCTTCTACTTTTGTCTGCTATCCTGATAGAGGTGGATGGGGGTCCTAGACATTTGGAGCCCCCCTCCTGGAACCTCAATTAACCTTCTGACAAGTGGGAGGAGGCCTAACTCCTGAGGCAGGGTCTCAATAGTTTGGGGCTGGGAGCCTGGGTTCTGGTTCCAGCCCCAGCTCAGCCAGGCCAACCTGGCAATCCTCCGTTTGCTCCCCCTCCCAGAGGAAACTGGGTGGGAGTCCAGGTAGGGAGGGAGCAGGTCCCAGTGCTACCTCTCTTCCTCACAGGGCCATCTGCCAAGGTCTTGCACAGCCGGTCTGGCCCCCACCCCTTCCCCCCTAATTGGCTGCCTACGTGCTCACAGAGCCTGCTCTGCTAAATCTGGTGGGGGGAGGGGACAGGCTGAGCCCAACCCCCTACCCCCCAGGGAAGTCTCAGGGTTTGGCATCCCAGGGGGTTTGGAGGTGGGAGGTGGGGAGAGGATTTAGAGGAGGATAAGGACCAAATTGGGTCAGAAGGAGGAAGAGGAGCACACATCTGGGGAGAGGAAGGGAGTATCCCACTTCTGGAAAGAAAAAGGGCCCCCCACATCTGGGGAGAGAGAGAGGAACCCAATAATTAGAAAGAGGGGCTGTACCATATGTGGTGGGGGGAGGCCCACATCTAGGAAAGAAGGGCTCCCTGTCAGTGAAAAGTAGCCCCACATATAGGGAGAGGGAAAGAGTAATCTACATTTGGGGAAAGAGATGGCGCCCCACATGCGGACAGAGGATAATTCCCGGAGGAGTCCTCGACTCTGAGCTGCCCGAAGCCCCCTGATCCTCCTCGATGGCAGGAACCACACCGGCCCTGACCGACCGGTGACGAAAGTTCAGGTCCAAGCCGCATCCCTCACCCGCAGGCTCGGGCAGCCAGGCTCTCCCACCCACCTACTCACTCACCTCGCGGCTCAGCGCCGAGGGCGACTTGGGTCTGCAGAGCGAGTAACGGAGAATGGGCCGCAGAGGGACCAGAGCGCGGGGCGCCCGCCCCCGGGCCCGCCCCACAGCCTTCCCCAAGGCCAACCCCTGCGTGGGAACGTCCTGCCTCGGCCGGCCTTGGGAGCGCCCAGCCCGCGTCCCTGGGGGCGCCCCGGCCCCCAGCCTGGGGAGGGGCACTGCGGAGTGAGTCTCCGCCTCAATTTCTCCGCCCACGGGCGTCCTGTCTCTAGAGACCCCCAGCTGACAGCGCCTGGGACTTAGCTGGCGGTGTGTCCTGGGCCGGCGCAGCCCTGAGTCTGGTAGTCCAAGGAGCTGGATCATCCTGTCTCCACACCTTCGTTCATTGCTGCTCTTTGCGCTTGGAATGCTCTCGTAGGGACTCTGCAGACCAAAGTGTGGCCAACTTTCCAGCCCAGGCTCAACACCTCCTGCTCCAGGAAGCCCACAAGCATCTAGAATCTGGGAGCTGGACTGTGGTGTATCACCTTGCTCCCATGCCCCCACATACCCAGAGGAGGTGAAAAAAGCCTCCCTCTGGTGTTCAAATCTTAGCTGTGTGGCCCTCAACAAATGGCCTAACTTCTTCTTCTTCTTCTTTTTTTTTTTTTATAGGATTTTATTTATTTGTCAGAGAGAGAAGGAGAGCACAAGCAGGAAGAGCTGCAGGCAGAGGGAGAAGCAGGCTCCCCGCTGACCAGGGAGCCCGATGCAGGACTGGATCCCAGAATCCTGGGATCATGACCTGAGCCAAAGGCAGAGGCTTAACCGACTGAGCCACCCAGGCGTCCCAAATGGCCTAACTTCTGAGCTCCTGTTTTATTTTCTAGAAAAGGGAGCTAATGGGGGCGCCTGGGTGGCTCAGTCGGTTAAGCGTCTGCCTTCGGCTCAGGTCGTGGTCCCAGGGTCCTGGGATCGAGCCCCGCATCGGGCTCTCTGCTCCGCGGGAAGCCTGCTTCTCCCTCTCCC